ATATACTATATATAGTATACTATAATATATATATGAAAAGTTTATATATGGTTACACTTTAAAATGTAGATTACAGATGCACCTCAAAAATCTATCGAAAATGTTGTTTTAACGTTGAAAAAACCTTCTTATCGATCATCTTGACATTGAGATGTATAAATATATAAAAAAAAAGTTTTCAAGTCCCAAAAATAGTGCATCTTGCAACACATTATCTAGACCTTCCATTTTTCAAAATTTTCATATATTTATAGATCTACTTGATTTTAACCATTTTTGAAATTTAAAATTTTCTAATTAGGTTTGAAAATAGATTTTAAGATACTATTAATAATTTTTTATACCAAAATTACATGTTATGATAAAATTTTAAGGTGCGTCTTGATTGGATTGTTTAAGGTTGCATCCTTATAGAAACCACATCCTCTCTCTCTCTCTCTATATATATATAGGAAAATGATCCCATACGGCGATTTGTGTATAGCTTGCCTGCCTAGCGAGACAAGGTTACCCTCTCTCTCTCTACACAGCCCGACGAGTGAAGGATACCTAGCAAGACAAGGTTACCCTCTCTCTCTCATACCGCTTGACGAGTGAAGCTTGCCCAACGAGACAAGGTTACCCTCTCTCTCTATACAGTCTCTCCTTCTCTCTCTCTTCGTATTTTTCCCTCTCTCTACACAATCTCATGAAGCCTGCCCCAGCGAGACCAGCATTTTTTCTCTCTTTCTCTCTCTCAGTTGTTCCTCTCTCTACATCCTCTCTCTCTCCTCTAGACAGGCTACGTATGAACCCTCTCTCTCTATTTACACAGGCTATGCATGAGCCCTCTCTCTCTCTACACAAGATTTTTTTTCCCTCTCTCTCTACGTAGGCTTTTTTCCCCTCTCTATCTCTCTCAGCTTCCCTAATCGATCACTGCGATCCCTCCCAAACCGAAAGCGTTGAAGATTTCAGGGCCCTAATCGATCATTAGAATCCCTAACAAGTTGCCGGTGTTGTAGATTTCTCCGCCCTAATCGATCACTGGAATCCCCCAAACCGTCGGCGTCGTAGATCAGGTTCTTTCGATTCCCTTAGGATCGGCAAAATACCCTTCTTTGCCTCTTCATTTATGCGTGCTTCTGTGAATGTGGTCATGGTTTGTGAATGTGGTTATGGGTATTCATAGTCTTTGATTCCATTCGTGTTACATCGTCTGTTGAGTACAAGTACATGCTTGTGAATGTGAAATTGTTGCAGGTTATGGTTGATTTCAGTATGCATGACCAGTGAATGCATGTATTTATATATATATATATATATATTACTTTATAGTAATTTGTGAATGTGTGATCGTTACAGGTTATGGATAAATGACATAATTCTTTGGAGTTTATGAGAATTCTTGATATCAAGATTTGCATGATTTGTATTGCTTTCTCTGTGATGAAAATTTTTTATGTTTGGTTTGTAATCAGTATCTATGATACACATTTGTAGGGCCTTTTTTTTAAAATAAAAACTAAATTGATTGGTTGTTTTTGATGTTATTATCAAAAGCAATAAAATGATCCCATAGATGCAGAAAAAGCGAAAGCAAAATAGAAAGAAGTTACTCGAAAGTGTGCAATTTGCAAAAGGAGTGGATACAATAGAAAGAATTGTCCAGCTGTTGAACGTTTAAAGTATGAATGAACTATTGCTCCATCTTTAGTACTTTTTGTGATGGTAATATGAATTCTTTAATTATAAATTTTTGAAATGGTTTTCTTCGTTTAGGTTAAATGTCTATATAAGAAGCACGGATGGGTCATGTGAGAATGTGGAACATGCTGAGTAATGGTAAGAACTTTTAATGCTTTGCATTGTAATCAGTAAACAAGTATTTGTTGCATTCAATTTGTATTGTATTATAGCATTCAAATTTTCATGCTTGTGTGCTTGTCATCATGTCAATCACAATGTAGAACATAATGAGTAATAATATGAATTTAATGTTTACAACAACTGTTGTTGTTAATGCAGTTACCCAAAATGTGGATGCAACAGCTGTTGTTCTTTTGTATCAAAAGTTGGCAGGTAAATAATATTTGTTATCGTGTAGTTTATTCCTAACTTTACATTTTGTAAGCATTGTGGTACTTCTATCCATGCTTGTATTACTTATTTATGGTCTTATAGCTGCAATTACCAATTGATGGAGGAATTCACATTTGACTAGATGTTTCAAAGTCAGAATATGATGACTGCACTACATCCGATGATTTTACATTGTTTCATGGTTATTTTTTACATGTCCATCCACAATAGATGGTGGTGGTGGTAGAATAGGTTAGAAGGTGGTGAGGTGAATATTTTAATTATTCGTAAACTGAGTATTACGCCTTTTGGAGGGTGTTCCTTTTGGAGCCATTTGACATGTATTTCTCTTATGGGACCATGTACATTTTACTTTTTATGGATGTCTTGAAACTTTGAAATTAGTTTCATATAAGTTCATTTGTAGTGCATTCAGTACAAATACTGCACTATATTCCTCTCTATTCTTTACCAAATTTGGTATGTGTTGTGTTCATAAACAGTGTGAAATTGACGCCCTAATCTGTTCCATCAATGGAGCTTATAATCTTTTCAAATTTACATAGGCTCTATGAATTTGCAAGTTCAAGGTTCACATTTGCAAGTTCAAGGTTAACATGTGAATGAGTTGAATCGTCCATTTAGGCTGGTTTCTTGTGTACTACTAGGGAGTTCCATCTTCTATTATAGCCAAGTTGTAATGTGATATTCCTGATTTCAGCAAGAATACTTGTAGGTGCTTTATTGTTGAATTTGCTGCAATATATGGGTTGAATAATGCATGTAGGCTGGTTTCTTGTGTACTAGTGTACTACTAGGGAAATCATCTGCTTTTGTAGCCATTTTGTATTGTGATATTCCTGATTTCAACATGCAAGTCAAGGCATTATAGTGATAAGAAGCATATGGAATTTCAGTTCTCTAGTATTGTTTGATGGCTTAAATATTTATAGCTGCAGCAAATTAGAGCTTTACAATTGCAAGAAGGCCTGTAACCCTGTGTTAAACCATAGATTTGTTGAGCTGTTTATCTCTGCATTTACCTCCCTTGCTCTATGTTTTAGACAAAACACTGCAGTCCGTCTCGATAGATGGTTATTTCCAGTTCTCCGCAAATATTCAGCATCTTTAAATGGGTGGCATTTCCCCTTCTTACAACCATAATACAAAGAATAATAATGTATAATGTCTGTATGCACTTATTTGCATCATAGTAATAAAAGCTTGGGCTTCCAACCATTTCTTAGTGGAGGCAAGCCAGCCCCCATCGCATCTACTCAGACAGACAACCTCTCAAAATCATTCACACCAGTAACACAAAAAGGAAGTCATTCATGTAAAGGCTACACTTGGACTCATCACTCTCACTCTTTCTCTCTCTAAGATCCTTGGAACCATCACACACACAATTTTCAAAATTGAATAACATAGACAGAGAGATCACAATATGACTATCTCTACGGAAGAGAAAGCGAGAGATAAGTGAGAGAGAGAGAGAGAGAGAGAGAGAGAGAGATAGGGAGAGAGTTGAATTCGACAACTACAAAATGAACATATATGTTACTTTCAACTATAACATGAACCATAATAGTAGAATGAGTTGAATTCCACAATGGGAATAATTACATTACTAAAAAGCAAACACCAAAAAGCCAAAAAGCTATCACATGTTTTGAATAAGGATTACGAAAATTAAAAACATGAGCGCAAGTAAGCACATATTTATTATACACAAAAAAATACAACAATTGTTGCAAACGCCCAAAGGCACCGATTATGAATTGTTGCAAATGACCTATGGTACCGAGTATCGTATCATGGCGAACACTTCTTTCTTGATTGACCATGACACGTTCTTTTGATTCATGCATTTGATGCCACTCATGTATATTGCGATGCCTTAAATTGACATTTTGCACAGTGGTAACATATTCATCACACCATTGGAAGAACCCATATAATAGACACTTATAGTACATCCTGTTCGGGTTATTTGAGCTTGTCGATGCTTTCGTAGCACAATCTATATTGCACTTAGGGCAATGTCAAGGTGTATAGCCTCGATTACTTGTAGAATGAGATGACATTGTTAGGGCCTACAATAATCGCATCAGAATCACATTGTGAATGACTAAATAAGTATGTACTTCAAGCACATCATAATATATTGCAAATATATCAAAGAACATAGTACATTGAAAATGCAAAGCAAAATATAAAAATATTTATTGACTTCATCTATACAAGTAAGAGAATTAAACCAGTCAACAAGTGAAACCATAGAAATAAAAAATAGCAAAGGGAATAACCCTTCAAGAATCAAGTTTACAGAGCAATGTGTCTACACTAGCAAATGATTTAATATTGAACCATACAAAATTGACAACTTTTGATGTAATCCATATTACATTATTGGTGCTAAAATTTGAGACCCACGATGAAAAAGTAAACTAAAAAACCACTTGCATTATCAATTCTCATCTATGTAATTAAGTGCAAATAAAGTGGAAAATAACTCACTGGAATCAAAGTATTGCACTGTAGAACAAGGTCATCTATACAATAAAAAATGTAGAAATTCTATCTTCTTCCAAAATGTAAAAATTATGTCTTAGACAAGACACAAAACCCTTGTACCTTTCAGTAATTGAGTTCACCAACTGTGCCATTTTGATGCTTGAATGGTGATCACCACCTCAAAAAGGGTGTTCCCAAACCATGTAAGAGCACAAAAGCTGGAGCCTTTTTACGAAGTTCTAAATTTTAATATAAAGAGCGAAGTTAGTTGAAACAAGTTGAAGTCATGCATCATCATACATGTATTTTCGCATTTAGGATTCTACCTCATCCTAACAGAGGTCCATGAAAATGTTCCGTCTCATGATTTGTAAATACTTTATACAATTAATAAAACTATAAGTCAGCAAATGGTTAACTGATTATTCGGTGAAGACCACACATCGCATGGAATCTAGAGAACAAAAAAGAAATCCATATTACAAAGTCACATAGTAGTTCTCCATTCAGGACCTACATATATAGAAGCACAACTATTAATTCCAATTATAGTTACAAACAATAGCAGAAAGAAAACAACTTGCCATCTGCATGGCCAATATTTGTAGGCCCCCAAAAACCAACATAGTCGATGTATTCATTTCCATTACTATCTACCAATTGATTCAAAGGCACAAACTGATGAATTTGCATCATCCAGCACCAAATGAGATATTGGAAATTAACTGATTGAAAGGAAAAGGCTGGTGAATTTTTATCTACCTGTAGAGCCACCCGAAATATTTAATCTTCATTTTCACCTTATCAAAAAATAAATATTTCGGGTAGCTCTACAGGGAGATAAGAATTCGCCAGACATTGTACACAATCACATTCATAGACCATGAATACCCATTTATCCATAAAACCGAACATAAACAATTTCCATCATAGAGAAAGCAATACAAATCATGCAATTCCTGCTATCTAGATTTGTAATAAACTTCAAACGATCACGCCAACCGACCGTAAAAAAGATAGGGAACCGAATTAACAAAAGCACTACCAAAAAGCAAAAAGCAAAAACCCAATTAACTAGACGAGACAGGCTTACTCAGTGAGACAAAGTTAAAGTCAAGATTAAATATTTCGGGTGGCTCTATAGGCAAATGAAAATTTTATATATTCAACATTATGTAGCTACTAGGAAAAGGGCATGACAATAAAACTATCAACCAATAAGAACTATGTGCCAAAAACCTCACATATAACCAACTCAAAAGCCATGACAAATGTCCATTCAATTATAACCAAATAAATAGAACAAATAGATAACCACTTATCTGAGAAAAAAAAAAAACATAGAAAATCAAACACCATAAGACCCACATCCTAGCTGTACCAACACAAGTGATATAGCAAAAATCCAATCATTTACCAATAAATTAAACTTACCCAACTTATTGAGCCTCCAAATATCAGCATAAATATCAATTAACCTCAACCAACTCTTTCGTTCTATCCAATTTTGAGAAGATCATATTGAAAAAAAAAAAAAAAACAATAGATAGGGTATGAAAGGAAAAAAAGAATCCCAACCTTAGAGACAACAGAAAATCAAATGAAGCTTAATCTATTCATTTTCAAGGCAAAAATTGTAGAATCAATAGTAGACAAGAAATACAGAGAAAAAAAGATTTCTCAGAGAAACATGAAATCAAATGAAGCTCCATCTATGCATTTTCAAGGCAAAAATGTAGAATCAATAGTAGATAAGAAATACAGAGAAAAAAAGATTTCTCAGAGAAAACAGAAAATCAACTGAAGCTTAATCTATGCATTTTCAAGGCAAAAATAGTAAAATCTATAGTAGACAAGAAATACAGAGAAAAAATGATTTCTCAAAGAAAACATAAATTCAAATGAAGCTTAATCTATGCATATTCAAGGAAAAAATTATAGAATCAATAGTAGAAAAGAAATACAGAGAGAAAAAGATTTCTTAGAGAAAACAGAAAATCAAATGAAGCTTAATCGATGCATTTTCAAGGCAAAAACTATAAAATCAATAGTAGACAAGAAATACAGAGAAAAAAAAATTTCTCAGAGAAAACAGAAAATCAAATGAAGCTCATCTATGCATTTTCAAGGCACAAATTGTAGAATCAATAGTAGACAAGATATACAAACAAAAAAGATTTCTTAGAGAAAACAAAAAATCAAATGAAGCTCCATCTATGCATATTCAGGGCAAAAACTGTAGAATCAATAGTAGACAAGAAATACAGAGAAAAAAAGATTTCTTAGAGAAAACAGAAATTCAAATGAAGCTCCATCTATGCATTTTCAAGGAAAAAATTGTAAAATCAATAGCAGACAAGAAATACAGAGAAAAAAAAATTTCTCAGAGAAAACAGAAAATCAAATGAAGCTTAATCTATGCATTTTCAGGGCAAGAACTGTAGAATCAATAGTAGACAAGAAATACAGAGAAAAAAGATTTCTCAGAGAAACATAAAATCAAATGAAGCTCCATCTATGCATTTTCAGGATAAAACTATAGAATCAATAGTAGATAAGAATTACAGAGAAAAAAAGATTTCTCAGAGAAAATAGAAAATCAACTGAAGCTTAATCTATGCATTTTCAGGGCAAAAATAGTAAAATCAATAATAGAAAAGAAATACAGAGAAAAAATGATTTCTCAGAGAAAACAGAAATTCAAATGAAGCTTAATCTATGCATTTTCAAAAAAAAAATTGTAGAATCAATAGGAGATGAGAAATAAAGAGAGAAAAAGAATTCTCAGAGAAAACAGAAAATCAAATGAAGCTTAATCTATGCATTT